TAAAATAATGAATTATTAATATAACCTCCCATCTCTATGCTTTTGCATATACTTTTCTTTACCTATAACAATGTGAAAATTTTTTTTTTTTTTTTGCAGTTTTTGGCCGGGGCTGGACTTGAACCTGCCACCTCCAGCATATGGGGCCAGCGTCCTACTCCTTTGAGTCACAGGTACCGCCCATGAAAAAAAAAATTTTTTTTAAGGGTTTTTATTTTTGTTTTTGTTTTTGGGATTTTTTAGAGACAGAGTCTCACTTTATTGCCCTCGGTAGAGTCCTGTGGTGTCACAGCTCACAGCAACCTCCAACTCCTGGGCCTAGGCGATTCTCTTGCCTCAATCTCCCAAGTAGCTGGGACTAGAGGCGCCCACCAGAACACCCAGCTATTATTTGTTGCAGTTTGGCCAGGGCCAGGTTTGAACCCACCACCCTCAGTATATGGTGCCCTACTCACTGAGCTATAGGTGATCCCGGAAAAATTTTTTTAAAGGCCAGATTAATTCCTACTTTCTAGAAGAAACTCTAATCTTTCCAGCCCATAGTGATCTGGAATTTTATAATTCTTACTGTCTCGTGCTTATTCTTAGATTCTTGCCCCTGCTCCTTTTTTTGTTGTTGTTGTTTTGGGCTTTTTTAGCATACAATAAAAAAGATTTGACTATACATTTTGGGATAAGCTTTTTTAAGTATAAAGTTAAGAATGGAAGTTTAAAATCCATGGAAAAGAAACATTTCTATTTTGTTAGAACATTTGCTAAAGAAAAAAAAACTAAGTTAAGCAGAAATAAAGTAAGAACTGGGAAGGAATCTCGAAAATCAATCTTCCCAGAGTCAGTATTATTAGCCACCTCAGGAATAAGCAATGAAGGAAGAAATATGCGGCTCCCCAAGGCACCTGGGTCTCTTATGGCTTTGAAGTACTCTAAACAGATACATCAAGGTTTTCTAAAAATATATCAACAGAAAACCAAATAACTATTTCTGTTCACTTTAATTCTTTCACATCAGAGTTACGGTTAAAAATCTGAGCTAAGCATACAGGAAGGAAGTTCTCTTACTGGGTCGATGCCAAAAGGGTATGGTCCACCAAACACTCCAGGGAGAGCCGGGTTCAGTTGCAGAACAGGGTTCCCCCGAAGTGTTTCTTCCCTAACATATTAGGAGAAAAGTCACATTATTTTCAGAGAATCACCAGGGGTCCAGATACTGACCTCAAAAGAAATTACTATAGCTATCAGCCTCTTCAATAAAAGAGGAGGGGAAAAAAAGAGGAAGCACTAGTAGCTGAGAGTAAGGAATCACAGATGACAAAAAGAAAAATTAAACACACACACACAACCAAGGAGGGAATTTAGGGAATCCACTTTTAGATAACAAAAAAGAAAGCACTTAATTCGTAGTCTGAGTCCCTTGATATTAGCTGAAAAAAAATCACAAAGCACTTCAAGGACTGGAGCATAAAGAAGAGGAGACACTGCATTCTTCTGAAACACAGATACTGTCAACCACTTCCTCAAGAAGTGTTAGTTTACCACTTGTCTTAAAAATCAGGGCTGAATAGGAAAAAAATAAGTTTTGACTTTTATCTTCTTCTGCAACTTACGTCCAATTATGATCAAACATTGGCCGTACACTCCAGGATGACCCAAAGATATTAAGAGACTTGGAAAAGCAATCATTGTAGATGAGGCCAGTGTACATGGAGAACACACCCATCAATAGAATAATGTATCGCCCACTGAACACAGTGCTAAACATCTGGGAACCAGAAGAAAGAAGTAATGAGAATGTACTCACTGCAGCTCATGTTTGTGACAATGTTATTTCAAATATACTAGCCCCTTCCAATGGCACTACTTTACCCCATGCTGATGCAGACAGATTGACGTAAAGACCGAAATCCAAAGCTAATGAGAAATTCACTTTCACAGCATATGGCCTCTTTTATTTTCTATTTATTTAGTTTTTTGAAATGGAGGTCTTGCCATGTTGTCCAGGCTGGTCTTGAACTCCTGGGCTCAAGCCACCCTCCCACCTCAGCCTCCTGAGTAGCTGAGCATGCACCACAACACCCACCTAACACATGGCCTCTTTGGTGTTAAAATGAACATAACTTCTCTATTTCTTTTTGATAAATTCATGGATAAAAGATTTCCAGATCAAAATTTTCATAATAAATGCTTGAGAAATTATAAAATTTCAGTCCAATGCAGATGCAACTTAAACGTTACCTCATTTTCATTCTTCTGAGAAAGGATTCGGCTCTCTCTTAACACCATCCACACAGCAAAAAGGGTCATCAAAATGCCATGGCCAAAGTCCCCAAACATCACAGCAAACAGAAAAGGGAAAGTGATAATAGTATATGGTGCTATATAGAAACAAAAAAAAAAGAAAAAGAAAAACACAAAATGCATAAAACCATGATTCCTAAACTATCACATTCTTTTTCCACACTCTATGATCACTGTAAAGTGACTTATTCCCCCACTGCTGGACAGATATGGTGAAAAGGTTTCATGGCAAGATCTACCCTCACAAAGCAGCTAATGGAATTTGAGCTACTGATAACATTTTAAACAAGGAAGAACACAGGAAATGAAGTGTAGCCCTGGCAACAGTATGGTTTGTTCTTTGATTTCCTTCCTCTAATCCCTGGGACCTGCTCCTGGGACAGGCAGTCTACCTGTCTTCTCTGTGCAGCAACCATTTTCCAGCTGAATTAAACTACCAGGTAGTCAGGATAGGCCCAGAACTGGAGTAAAGCATGGCCTGCACAAGGCTCCGGCTAAAAACAAATTCTCACACTCTTGATTTCATAATTAACTCTCCGGCTGGGCATGGTGGCTCACACTTGTAATCTCAGCACTCTGGGAGGCCAAGGTGAGTGGATTGCTTGAGCTCAGGTGTTTGAGACCAGCCTGAGCAAGAGTGAAACCCCGTCTCAAAAAACAGCTGGGCATTGTGGTGGGTACTTATAGTCCCTGCTATTTGGGAGGCTGAGGCAGAAGGACCTCTTCAGCCCAAGAGTTTGAGGTTGCTGTGAGCTATGAGGCCATGGCACTCTACCAAAGTGGACAAAATGAGACCATGTCTCCAAAAAAAAAAAAAAAAAAATTAACTCTCCAAATAGGAATAATCTGCATTGTGCCTAAAAAAGTCAATTAGTACTATATTTTCTCTGTATGTGTATAATTTTGAATAGGGAAGACAAGAAGAAGCCATTTTAACATATCTTCGGAGAAACATTTTACTTAAAGCAGCTCCTCAGATGGTTTGCTAGAGAAGCCCAGGTGCTTCATGGCTGTGAGGGCACTTGGAAGAATCCAGTCCAACGAGCTCCTACTGAGTACTGCCTGGTGAGAAACCTGCTCCTTATGTCAAATGGACACCTCTTCACAGGAACTGCACAAGACCTGAGATCTTACATCTTTAGTTTTAAACCAGGTGTTAAATAGCATTTAAAGTGAGGCACTGAAAGAAACAACAAACAAAAACTTTTAGAGGAAAATATAAGCTTTTATTACCTGGATTTATCTCTCGGTAAGTTCCAATTCCATAAGCATCTACTATGTTCTGAAAGCCACATGTAAACTTGTTGGTTTTGTTATAAGTTGGAGGAGTCTGGTTTGTCTGCATCCGGTTCAAAATGGAGGGTACAGTGGAACCACTGTGTTCCTGGGAAATATTAACATGCATAACAAAATTAAGTTATCCTCTCCATTGTGGTGGAGACTACATGGGTGTATATATTTATCAAAACTCATCAAACTTCCTGAACTCCATAAATGTGTCAATGTATAAAGTTATGACTTAATAAAAAATAATTTTAAAAAACTCTTCAAACTGTACACATAAAATATATGTATTTTCTTTTGTGTAAATTATATCTCAGTAAAAATAAATGAAAAAATAAAATTGCAGATTATCTTCCTGAGTCTTTGGGGAAACTAGGACTATGTATAAAATTTTAAATGGAAGACTTTAAGTCTTGGGAAGTACATTCTTACTCTGAAAAAAAATTAACTCTAAAATGTATAACATCAAAGAAAATGTGGAACCTCTTCCTTATCCACCTTTCTATGAATATTGCTATTCCCTCCTCCTTTCCTGGATAAAGCAAAGCATATTCTCTGCCTTTACCACCTCCTAACTCCCCAATCCCCTGCAGTCTGGCTGAGCACACTTATCCAAAGTCAGTGGTTCATCATCCACCCAAAGGGCTTCTCTCCCATTGTAAGCCCAATGCTGGAGAACTTATCTATATCTTTATTCCTTAGGAGTTCTCCTCCTGCTCACTAACCACTCTTTCTCCTCTGACTATCCTGTAAGATTGTAGGCCCTCAAGGGGCTTCCTTATTTTCTCTCTACAATTTCCTCTTGGAGGCCTCATTCACTTCCACTCTCATGACTCCTGTTTCCTTAGTTTTATTCCCTTGTCTGCCTGACTGTTCACATTTCTTTTCTTTTCTTTTTTGGAGACAGAGTCTCACTTTGTTGTCCTGAGCGAAGTGCCATAACATCACAGCTCACAGCAACTTCAAACTCTTGAGCTCAAGCAATCCCCTTGCCTCACCCTCCCGAGTAGATGGGATTATAGGCACCTACAACGCCCAGCTAGTTTTTAGAGACAGGATCTTGCTCCTGCTCAGGCTGGTCTTGAACTCCTAAGCTCAGGCAATCCATTCACTTTGGCCTCCCAGAGTGCTAGAATTACAGGTCTGAGCCACTACACCCAGCCCCATATAGATTTCTTTTCTTTTTTTTTTTTTTTTTTATTGAATGGTAACTATGTACATTAATGCACTTCTGGGGTACAGTATCCCATATAGATTTCTTAATGTGATTGCAACTGAGCTTACTATCTTTCTCATCTCATTAAAAGTTCACCTTCTCTTAATGAACTTTTACTTCTATCAATGGAACCCTAATTCTCCTGGCTACTCAGCTTTGATGCCTCAAAAACTTTTTTTTTCCTTTTAGATACCTTGTATAATGCTTAAGTCAGGGCTTTTGGTATGCCTGTCACCGGAACATTGTTCATTATATACTGAACAGGTAAATTTTTATCCCACACTTCCAATATCCTTTACATCTCTTTGTACCCATCTGTACCTATCATTTAGCTCTCACTTATTAGTGAGAATATATGGTGTTTGGTTTTCCATTCCCAAGGTACTTCACTTAGGATAATGGTCTCCAGTTCCATCCACATCACTGCAAATGGCATTACTTCATTCATATTTTATGGCTGAATAAATACTCTATGATGTATATATTCCACATTTTCTTTATCTACTCATGAATTGATGAACACATATGTTGGTTGCACATCTTTGCAATTGTGAATTGTGCTGCAATAAA